TATCAATCGTTCTCTAATCTCTCAATCAAATTCCCATCAATATTTAAATAATATTTGTTTCAAATATTTTGTCTTTCATACCATTTTATTTTTCGTTGGATGTTATTGTATTATATTATAATTTCGATATGTAATTTTATAAATTCAAAAAAATGAGCATTGGAGATTTATATTTGTTTTATGCGATACAAATCTCCCAATATATATAACAAAGAGAATACATCTTTATTTCAGAGAAATATACAATCATACACATATATACATGTATACATATATATATTCCTTCCAACGATATAAATTATTTATAGAATAATGCATGTGTGTGTATATATAGATACACACACATACAAATTATGTCAGTGAAGGGGTGGTACAACAGGTTTGGACCAACTCGTTGCAACAAGGTGGAAACAACGCATCAGGGTGGCTAACCTTCTCGGCCAAAGTTCTTCGTATTTTGTCAGTCATAACATTTCCAACCCTTCCCTCAACTCTAACCATTGACATCGCCATTATCACCATCATCACCACCGTCACTAAGAACGTCATTCTCAAAATTCCCTTCGTCATTATTGTTCTTCTCTCTTTTCTTTGTTTTGTACTATGTATATTATGTTTTAACTTTGGTGTGGTGTCATGTTATTTATATATGTAACCAAACCTCTATAACTAGTAAGTAAATCTTGAAATGTATGACAAGGAGATATATAGTCCTTTAAGAGCAAGAATGATGAAGTAGATTTGCAGTTATCCTTTTAGTTATTTTTTAGTATCCTTCAACCTTTAAAAATGGAAGATTTATTATTATATAGATTGATTTAATTTAACACTTTAAAGTATTAAGGATATTAGTATTTATTCTTAATCATTTAAAAAAATCTTTGATTCTTTACAGTTGTTGATTGCTTTAATTTATTATTAAAAAATTTAAATAATTTCGTTATAGTGTTTGGAGTTTGGTGTCATGTAATTTGTATGTGTAACCAAGCCTCTATAATTAGTAAATCTTGAAATGCATTGCATGTTTTCTTTGTCAATGAATGACATAGCCATTTTAGAGAAAGAATTGTTGAACATATGTGTTACGGTTTTTGGCGTCATTATCCCTTTACATTTTAAAATATTATATATATTTTATTACTGTCATGGATGATTTATTCTAACATTTGATTTCTTATTACTGATTTGTTACAAAAATTGGATTGATTTATTCTAACATTTGATTTTTTATTACTGATTTGTTACAAAGATTAACTTAGTCGATATCTTTATTGTTATTCTTATTATTAAAACTACTTCTCTGTCTCCTTTGCATGATCTTATTGTTATTTTTATATTATTATTAAATTTTAAAAATAATCTTAATTTTTTATATATTAAATTTTATATATGAGAGTGGTGAGACAAATTGAGTTTTGAGTGAAATTTGATTCTTTTAAATGTCAGTTTGGGTTCTTGGTTGGTTACTTTGTGGTGTCATTAGATGTTTTTCTTCTATTCCGAACTAAAATGATTTCGTACAGTTTTTTTTTAAATAATGTTTATTTCAAATATTTTGTCCTTCATTTTCTTTTATATTTCGTTGGATGTTATTGTACGATATTATAAATTTGATATGTAATTTTATAAATCCTAAAAAAATTGGGCACTGGAGATTTTTATTTGTTTTATGCGATGCAAATCTTCCACTATATATATAACAAAGGAAAAAGACTCGGATTCGAGAGGCTTAGGAAGTCAATGAACAAACGCACCTGAGGATTTTGGAGGTTTGACAATGGTAGGGCAAAAAGGCGTTTGGTGATTAGGGTTTTTAGGGCAAAGGTCGGTTTGTGTTATTGCTTGGTTGAAATGATTTCATTCAGTTATCTTTAAATAATGTTTATTTCAAATATTTAGTCTTTTGTACTATTTTATTTCGTTGTTTATATCATAAATTCGATATGTAATGTTATAAATCCGAAAAAAAAAATTGAGTATTGCGGATTTATATATATTTTGTACGATGCAAATCTCCCAACATATAACATAGATAACATCTTTATTTTCGAGGAATATATATTTGATATATATATATATATATATATATATTCCTCCAAACAATACAAGTTACTTATGGAATGATATTTGTGTGTATATACACACATACAAATCATTTCAATGGAGGGGTGAAACAGCATGTTTGAATTTCCTCGTTGCAACAGGGTGGAAACAGTGCGTCTGGGTGGCTAACCTTCTCAGTCAAACTTCTTCCGGTATTGTCAGCCATGACATTACCAACCCTTCCTTCAACTCGAACCATTGTCATCGCCATTATCATCATTGTCACCACGACGACGACCAAAAATGCCACTCTCGAAGCTGCTTTTGCCATTGTTGTTGTTCTTCACTCTTTTTTTTGTATTGTAGAATTTATATTTTAATTTTGGTGTCGTGTTATTTATATGAGAAACCATGTCTCTATAATTAGTAAATCTTGAAATGTATGAAATGTTTTATTTGTCAAGGTGTTATATAGTCCTTTTAGAGCAAGAATGATTAAACAAATTTGTAGTTATCTTTTTAGTTATTTTTTATTATCCTTTAACCCAAAAATGGATGATTTATTACCATATAAATTGATTTAATTTAACATTTAAAATTATTAGGGATTTTTCTTTTTATTCTCAAGCATTTTAAAAATATTTGATTTTTTACCGTTATTGATGGTTTAATTTATCATTAAAAATATTAAAATAATTTGTTATTATCCGTTAGAGCTTAAAAATTAATTACTACATTTGTTATTTAAAAATATTAAATATTTTGGTTACTATCCTTTAACATTAATATTTGTCTTTGTTTCGTTATGAATCTTTTGGAGAAATTAATTAATTTAGTTTATCCAGTAGGCAAGTATACACACTATATGAAATTTTTTTAATAATCCGTAAATTTATCGAGATTTCGATTCAACTGCATCTTTGAGAGGATAGAGAAAACCTAGATTGGAAAAGAGTCGTTAAACCAAACCATTAAACCAAACCACCCAATCTTGTATTACGAAGGATATATATAACTTTTCTTTATTTTCGAGGAATATATATTTGATATATATATATATATATTCCTCCAAACAATACAAATTACTTATGTAATGATGTTTGTGTGTATATTACACACAGACAAATCATTTCAATGGAGGGGTGAAACAACATGTTTGAATCTCCTCGTTGCAACAGGGTGGAAACAGTGCGTCTGGGTGGCTAACCTTCTCAGTCAAACTTCTTGCAGTATTGTCAGCCATGACATTACCAACCCTTCCTTCAACTCGAACCATTGCCATCGCCATTATCATCATTATCACCACGACGACGACCAAGAACGCCACTCTCGAAGCTGCTTTTGCCATTGTTGTTGTTCTTCACTCTTTTTTTTTTGTATTGTAGAATTTATGTTTTAATTTTGGTGTCGTGTTATTTATATGAGAAACCATGTCTCTATAATTAGTAAATCTTGAAATGTATGAAATGTTTTATTTGTCAAGACGTTATATAGTCCTTTTAGAGCAAGAATGATTAAACAAATTTGTAGTTATCTTTTTAGTTATTTTTTATTATCCTTTAACCCAAAAATGGATGATTTATTACCATATAGATTGATTTAATTTAACATTTAAAATTATTAGGGATTTTTCTTTTTATTCTCAAGCATTTTAAAAATATTTGATTTTTTACCGTTATTGATGGTTTAATTTATCATTAAAATATTAAAATAATTTGTTATTATCCGTTAAAACTTAAAAATTCTTACTACATTTGTTATTTAAAAATATTAAATATTTTGGTTACTATCCTTTAACATTAATATTTATTTTTGTTTCGTTATGAATCTTTTGGAGAAATTAATTAATTTAGTTTATCCAGTATGCAAGTATACACACTATATGGAATTTTTTTAATAATCCGTAAATTTATCGAGATTTCGATTCAATTGCATCTTTGAGAGGATCGAGAAAATCTAGATTGATACAAATTACTTATGGAATGATGTTTGTGTGTATATTACACACAGACAAATCATTTCAATGGAGGGGTGAAACAACATGTTTGAATCTCCTCGTTGCAACAGGGTGGAAACAGTGCGTCTGGGTGGCTAACCTTCTCAGTCAAACTTCTTGCGGTATTGTCAGCCATGACATTACCAACCCTTCCTTCAACTCGAACCATTGCCATCGCCATTATCATCATTATCACCACGACGAAGACCAAGAACGCCACTCTCGAAGCTGCTTTTGCCATTGTTGTTGTTCTTCACTCTTTTTTTTTTGTATTGTAGAATTTATATTTTAATTTTGGTGTCGTGTTATTTATATGAGAAACCATGTCTCTACAATTGGTAAATCTTGAAATGTATGAAATGTTTTATTTGTCAAGGCGTTATATAGTCCTTTTAGAGCAAGAATGATTAAACAAATTTGTAGTTATCTTTTTAGTTATTTTTTTATTATTCTTCAACCCAAAAATGGATGATTTATTACCATATAGATTGATTTAATTTAATATTTAAAATTATTAGGGATTTTTCTTTTTATTCTCAAGCATTTTAAAAATATTTGATTTTTTACCGTTATTGATGGTTTAATTTATCATTAAAAATATTAAAATAATTTGTTATTATCCGTTAGAGCTTAAAAATTATTACTACATTTGTTATTTAAAAATATTAAATATTTTGGTTACTATCCTTTAACATTAATATTTCTCTTTGATTCGTTATGAATCTTTTAGAGAAATTAATTAATTTAGTTTATCCAGTAGGCAAGTATACACACTATATGAAATTTTTTTAATTATCCGTAAATTTACCGAGATTTCGATTCAACTGCATCTTTGAGAAGATCGAGAAAATCTAGATTGGAAAAGAATCGTTAAACCAAACCATTAAACCAAACCACTCAAATTTTGTATTACGAAGTACATAGATAACTTTTCTTAAGGCACCACCCCCCCCCCCTCCCCAATAGTTTTCTTCATTTGACCGACCTAAATTCAACCAAACTCTCAACAGAATCTTTGCCTGAATCATTACCGTACTCTCGAACATGTTAGAAGATGGTTAGGTTCAACACGAACAAAACCCGCTTGGCAACAAAGAGCCCCCACATAAAAGGAAGAGCCACTGAGCAAACCCTTTGACTCTTCTCACTCAAAAAACCACACAAAAAGACCAAAATGGCCTCACAGTCATCATCATCCTCATCCATGTTCTTCTCTTTCACAATGCCTATTGCTCTGTCTCTGCTTCTTCTCGCTTCTGTCCCTCCACCAGTTCTATCCGCAACTCTCCCATCGGACATTCAGGCTCTGGAATCGATACTACGAAGCATTGACCCGAGCTCCATCTCCCCAGCCTCGTACCTTAGCACCTGGGACTTTTCCGAGGACCCTTGCGAAGGCGCTGGCACATTCTTGGGCATTATTTGCTCTTTCCCTCTGGACAACACCACCAGTCGTGTTACAGAGATCGAGCTTGATGACGTTGGCTATGACGGCTTCCTGTCTGTTTCAATCGGTAATCTGACAGAGCTCACCGTTCTTAGCCTGAACAAGAACAGGTTCCGTGGTCCGATACCAGAATCTGTCTTCACCTTGAGGAAACTTGTCCGGCTCTCTCTCGCTGAAAATTACTTCACTGGCGATATACCTGAAAGAATCACACATCTCATGGAGCTCAAAGTAATAGACCTGTCCAAGAATAGCCTCGCTGGTGCTGTTCCTCTCAGGATCTCGGCGCTAAGAAGTTTGACTCACCTGAGCCTTTCAGGCAACTATCTGGCCGGCAGAATACCCGCATTGAATGGCTTGTGGAAGCTAGAAGTGTTGGAACTTGGTAACAATCATTTCTATGGAGCCCTGCCTAAGCTTCCCACAAGCCTGAGAGTTCTGTCCATCAGCCACAACGGCCTTGCGGGCCGTATCTCGCCATTGCATAGGCTCAAGCAGCTGGTGAGATTAGACGTGAGTGACAACAGGTTCTCGAGCACCATCGGGCACGAAATCCTAACATTTCCTGAAATCACACTTGTCAATGTGTCTTATAACATGCTCACATCTCTAGAAGTGATCAACTTTACGGGCAGACAGTCACGCCTGCGCATACTCGATGCTGAAGGGAACCATCTGCAGGGACGCCTGCCGATAAACCTGGCCACTTTTGAAAATCTAAGGGAAATCAATCTGAGGAACAATATGTTCTCCGGTGGCATTCCAAAGGTGTATGGGAAAAAGCTTACGAGTCCATGGAGAAGCCTATACTTGGACCATAACTACCTGACTGGAGATCTTCCAGAGCAGTTCCATAAGCTTTCGAGGTTGATAAAAGGAAGCCTTTCAAATAACTGCCTGGAATGCCCAAAGAATCTTACAATCTGCCGAGGAGGACAAAAGCCAAAATCACAATGCACCAATGCAAAGAAGATGACCTTTCACGATTAGTAGCATAAATTACCACAAAAGTAAAGCTTATGTCCTTGTTTCCGATCTAATCGTGGTAGTATTGTAGTGTAGGCGAAATCATAAAAGGTGGAATAGCGAAAAGGACACAAAAAAGACACACGTATTAAGATGCCACTTTCTTCAGTATATTCATGTTGAACCAGCAAAGAATTGACATCATACCTACACCGCAATGACTTTCGCGAATTCTGCTACTTGACCTCAGAATTCGTCTCACAACAACGTAAGCAATACAATTCAAAAAAGCCAATTAACACTGATGTTACCGAGCCAGATCAAAAGAGGGAACTGGGCTAAAGCTACAAATAGCAGGAGGTAGTGGTGCTTGCTCGAGTCATAACTCCTAGCTTCCGCGAAGAGAACTCGTTTCAATGTCTTGACTAAGAAAATGCCCATGCACAAGCAGGTCCATGGAATCAATGCATAGTATGAGTATCCCCAGATTATCTTGCCAATAACAGCTAGACAGAGGCCCGTGAAAGCATAGCCTCCATATGCCACGATGTCCAGAAGGGGTGCCTCTCCACTACCGAGTGACATCAATGTTACTTTCAGCAGCATGGCTTGCAAAAACCACCCAACCATTCCTTTAATGAACGACCAGTTTAAAGCTTCGGGGGTAAACCTACAGAATTCATGTTTGTTAACATAGAGATCGCTATTTCATCAGTAAAATGAAGATGGTTATGTAAAAGAGAACAGACATCAGTTTGAAATGCACAATTGGCATGGTGAAGAAGTAAAACTAAAAAAGGAGAGAGAGAATCTTACATGACAGCAAGAAAGTCCAGAATAACTTACTTTGCATTAAGTCCCAATGATAAGCCAGCAAGAACAACATAGGTGCCAAATGCCATAAGTGGAATGTACAAGTCCGGTGCATTTATATCGAAGATCGGAGGCTTGTATGAGAGCCTGCCCCCGACTGGTTCAGTGATTCTGGTCCAATGTCCCTGACATTGAAGCAAAACTCATACAAGTTAATTGTCAGATATGAGAAGGACCAACAGAAATCCATTAACATAAAAAGATACGTGCTCACCCTGTGTAGGAACGGAAACAGAACAACCTTCAATTTGTTCCTCACATATTGGTCATTCACTTGGAAATAGTATTGGGGATCAGAGAAGTAACGACTTATCTGTTTAATATAAAACCAGTTAAAGTCAATGGAAAGGCGACATTGTGAACATATGTGAGAGCTGAAATGAAATGACTCCAAGCACTTACATTACTCTGGACATACTCAGAGCTCGATCCCAAGATTTTCTCCCCGTAGGCTCCTATTCCGCCTCGGATAAGTCCAGAGCCAGCCCCATAAAATGCATTACCAAATGGATTGGGCTGAGGATTCGCCTGAGGTTGTCCAGGTATCCCGGGTTGCGGTCCAACATTACTGTACATCTCTGGCATCAAACAAAACCAACACGAACAGTACATTATTGGCAACTTCTAATCTAGATTTAGCAGCAGAGCAATTCAAGCACCAGATTGCAAGCAGGAGACCATAAGTCTTATGCCATATTCGCATGAACCATGCAAGGTTTTCATCATACAATCAATTTTTTTTCCTCATCTTATTTCTACTCTCAATGTTTCCTTCAAACTCTCGAACCTCGGATCAGGATTCAATGGGCAAACAGAAAATATGACGTCATCATTAGGGTTTTTACGCTCGACCGAACAACATGAATAGCCTAATTTCCAAGATGCAAAGTCATAACTTCAACAAGGAATGGCCAGGAGAGTGGGGAAACACCATTTTTGGACGCATAGTCAAAGATAAACATACAACACCAACTGCTAATGATCGATGAGCAATTAGAAACAAGAAACATCGAACAGAGATTCGGATCCGAAAGGAAAACCTGAGAAGGAGATCGATCCCTAGTCCTTGTTTCTCGATCGATCGGATTGGAGTTCCAGCTAGGTTCCTTACGGTTAAATGCTTAAAGAGGAAGAACATTAGATCGAGGGAAAGGGAAGGTGGTCCGATGCATGTGCAGCGCACGTGCGAAGCCATCACTCAACCAATCACTGTTCGACACGTAGGCATATTGATCTCCAATTGTAAAAAAAATCGGATACCCGTCCCATACATTCACCCACACACACACATTGATCTCCATTTTTTTTATAAACACATTGATCTCCATTTAAAAACAAAATTATAATAAATTAAAAAAAATGGGATGCGAATTTTTTAAAATCGAAGTATCATACTCATGAATTATTTTCATGTGAACCAGGTTCATTTAGAAGGCATTATATAAAAAATATATCACTTTGCTATTTTTCCTTCAATACATATCATATGACCCATATAACTTAAAATATAGTATGATTATATTTTAATTTTATTGATGATAACGTTAAATGTATGATGATCTCACTAATTTATTATGTTCATACCTTGTATATCTTACTAATTATTTTATTAAAATATTATAAATTTAATGTTATGAAGAATGAGATCAACATGTGATCATACTGTATTTCGGGTTATTTCGACTTATATGATCACATATAGATAAGTTATGTATGGAAGTAAAAATAGTAAATTAAGTGTATTTTTTATAATATTCCAATTTAGAAATGATATGCTAAATAAATAAATAAGAAGATTTTTTCGACTACATAGATAAAAATATTTTATATAATATATATATATATATATATATATATTTATATATTTATATCATAATCATGTGTAAAGAAGATTTGGAAGAATAAACGCAGACGCAAGTCACGCAACACGCAAGCAAAGGCTTATTAACGCGAAAGAGCGAAGAGGGTGTCGAACAGAACAGAGATGGAGGTTCCAAACTATGAGGAAACACTCCAGTCCCTGAACTCTTGTCTCTCTCAGATCAAATGGCGGTTCAAATCCACTTCCAAGCGCCGACTCGAAATAGGTTTTGCTTTCTCTTCTCTATCAGAAATTTCATGTTCGTTTACCTGGGATTCTGTCGGGGCCTTCCGATGGCTTTGCTTGGTTCTTTGTTTATGCTCCATTGAAGGGTTAATGTTTGATTACATTCCTCAGATTGGGAATTCGCAGTCGAATTTCTGTTTTTTTTTTTCAGGTAGAGAATTTCAAGCGTGATGTTTGATTAATTTGTCGGGAGGTTCATTAGTTTAGGAAATGGGAAAGTTATTGGACATAAGCTCCCGAGAAATGTTCCAAATTTCTGCGTATGACTTACAGGATTCAATTTTTTTTTCCTCATATTCTGTAAGTGATAATCAACAAAAGATTTTGAAATTTGGTATCGGCCTGATTTCATTAGAGAGGAGATGTAATGGGTATGGAGAATTCAGTGATAAAACTTGTGCTGAAAACTGGCTTCTTTGTGTCAGATGTGTTGGCACTGTGCACAGGGATGAGGCCTGTAGTGATGATTGACTATGGTGGGAAGATGCCCGAGCTGCAAGATCGCCTTCTTGCACTTCTCGGGCTTATGCATAAGGTTCGATGCTATTTCGGGTCATGAATCTCTTGGCACTACTCTACGGTTCTCATATGTTTTTTCGTTGAATGATCCTCGGGGCTTAGCATATGTCAGTTTACTCGCTGCTGATATTCCTTAATTCTCTTGCCGAATATTCGTTCTTCCATCCTCTGTATAATTGAATCTGTTGAAGTGTTGCATTGCCAGGAATCACCCATGTTCAAGGAATTGAGGGTTATGGTCATAGAGGATATGATATACTTGATAAATGTAAGAAGCTTCTCTGAATATATAACCTCAAGCTTCAGCTTGGACGCGAAGTTGTTTTTTGTAGACTTGGAACATGATCCTCCAAAGGTTGATTCCCTCATTAAACCCTTTGTTTATCCAATGATTTCTCTTTTATCCAATGATTTATTTGACCATAGATCGTCGTTCTTGTTTGCTCAAAGATGATAGAACAAAGCAAGGAAAGCAAACTAGGGATGCAGCTTATATCAATCCAGAAGCTATTCTCTTCAGCATTCCCTTTAGAAGGAGGAAACAGCAATACATTGGCATGTGAAAGCACCAACCATATGGCTATTTTGGATTCATCCACCTCTGAGGCTAGCTCTTCCCAATCTTCTCTATTTCACGATCTTAGTCGGTGTTTGCAAGACACTCAGATCACAATCCCAACCTTGAACGGGTAATTTTCTAAGCCTACATTTCAAAGCAACCCTCTAAATCTCATGAACAAAAGGACTTAACACCCTACCTAATTGTCTGATTCTACACTAAGGGTTTCTATCGTTTTGCAAATGCTTGTTGTGAATGCTATTGTATGATTGAACAACGTCCCATGAAACACTGTCAAATTTGTTGCTGCAGGTGGTTGCTCGGCTACCCAGTTGTGTACCTGTTCGGTAAAGATCACATAGAAGACGCAATCTACAATCTCTCCACGAAATCCCTCCGCATATTCAGAATTCTAGTAAGCAGGTTAGCTGTTCAGTACCCAGACCTTAACATGATCTCTCTTCAGAACATATGCTGTGATGTCTAAATTTTGTTGTTCATTCAGGAACATGGACTCCCATTTCGAAGAACTAACCAGGTATATATCTTGAAGCAGTATTGTAAATGAGATCGTGACTTGCCTGATATTGCGTTGTCATTGACAACTGTTACGATAAATGGAACTTTTCAGTTTCTCGGTACCGTACGATCTGAGTATGGGAGGACGGGACGAGCCATGGGCCGAGGCGTTTTTGGGAAGGATGCGTTTGAAGTGGGAAGAATGCAAGCACGTTTGGACATCATTGGAGTTGGAGGTTTCTGAATGTTATCCTCAAGCAATCGTGCTCTAGATTTCAAATCTGAGACCAACAAGAACTCTCTCTGAAAGTTTTCAACTTTGTTGATTATTCATTAATGTGACGAAAAAAAACCAAGACCCATGATATTAAATGAAGCAGAACTGTTCCTACATGACAGAATCCAAAAAAAAAAAACCAAACTAAAACTAGTTGCTGTTGAGCAAGTTCTGAACTTCAGCCTCTGTGGGGAGAGCTGGAATTGCTCCTTTCTTTGTGGTTGTAATGGCTCCACATGCGTTTGCGAACCTTAGCACGTCTCTCAGCCTCGGTTCGTCCTGCAGATACAGAAACTTGTATGAGTAACCTGCTGCGAAAATCTTTATGGATCATTTTTTTTTCTGGTTGATGTTTTTTTTTTTTTGGTATGAATTTTCTGGTTGATGTTTACCTCGAGAATGGAGCGATCATCGACAAGCTTGCAGAGTAGGGCACCAACGTACGAATCACCAGCACCGGTGGTATCAACTGCGTTGACACGGAAAGGATCAACCGTTCCGCGGAAGTTCTGCAATTTCCACACACATAAAGACCAGACATCATCAGACCAGTCGGAACCTAACGATGTGAATGACGGGCCACGTTGCAGGATTAGGGCAATACCTTGGTGTAATATCTGCAACCCTTGTCGCCGAGAGTGACCAGGAGGAGTTTCAAGTTGTCGTGCCACAGAGACAGAGCGGTCTCATCGTCGATCTTGTCAGAGCCGGTGAGGAACTGGAGCTCTTCGTCACTGACCTTGATCACCTCAGCCTTGTCCCATATGCTCAGGATCTGCTTCCGAGCCTCTTCGGCCGAGGGCCACAGAGGCAGACGGAGGTTCGGGTCGTACGAGAGCAAGGCACCTGCTTCTTTAGCCACCTCCATGGCCTTCAGATGCGCGGACCGGCATGGCTCCACGATCAGGCTTATAGATCCGTAGTGGAACACCTTAGCCTGAAAAAGCAGAGTGTAAATACTTGGTTTGGCTAACTTGGTTGCTACGTTAGGGCAAACTACCATAACAGTAAAGCCAAAAAAAAATTCGAAAAATCAAAAGATGAATCCAATGCGAGAACAAAAACATACGGATCTGATGAGATCGAGGTTGAGTTCGTCAGGACGGAGGAGCATATCGGCGCTGGGATTCCGGTAGAACATGAACTCACGCTCCCCGTCGGCGCGTAGGGTCACGAACGCGAGAGCCGTCCTGGCTCCGGTGTCGAAGTTGATCCCATCTGCGGAGACGCCGTTCTGTTTCAGGATTCCGGCGAGCATGTGACCGAACTCATCGTCGCCGAGCTTCCCCACAAAGGCGGCGCGTCCACCAAGGCGAGCGATCGCAATCGCGACGTTGGCCGGCGCACCACCGGGGGCCTTGATGAATCCGGGAGCCTCAGCGAGGGATACGCCGGAGACGGTGGGGACGAAGTCGATGAGCATCTCGCCGAAGCTCACGATCAAGCTTTTCTCGCCGTTGGATGTGGCCATTGTGTTGATCGGACGGTGAGGATGGAAAGATTGGAATTCGTATCGGAGATTTGTGTGTAGAAAAATTAAAGGACTAGGGAGGGTTTATATAGAGGTTTTGATGAAGAAATCTAGAACAACCGATTTACTTGGATCCTACACAAAGTCCTAATTTACCCAAATTATATATGATAATTAATTATTTAAAAATCTATTGTTGGGTGTATATATAGATATCCGTAATCAATTATTAATTCGTTCCTATCTTTTACATGGATTGCAATATTAGATAAATATATCTCTACACGATCCAAACGGGAAATCAGTGATTGGTACTTTTGACCAAGATTTACTCTGCGTGGGACCCACGTGAAATTGGGATTAATTTGGTATTATCGGTTACAGGAGTGGATAAGACTTTTTTGTCCTCTTCTTTCTCAGTATCATAATGTTAGTATTTATCAGATTCCTGATCCTTATTAAAAAAACCTCCGACTTGTAAAAATAAGAAAAACTGTCAATCAATCTCCGAACTTGAACTTGTAACTTGTCATTGAATAAAACTTTGAACTTGTAAATTATTGCTCTAATAAACCTTTGACCGATGTGATCACAATTTCAGGCGATCGAAAATCCACGTATTGACGGATTGATTGACAGTTTTTCAAATTGAAGGTTTATTTGTATATATTTTTGCAAGTTGAAGGTTTTTTAGGAGTTTTACCCTATATGTGATAATTGCATGGTTAATCGTGATTATCCCTAGCATTATCATTAAACCATAAAATAAAAAAATCTAAAGAGAAATCTGGCCATGTGTGTGTATGTATGCACGGTCCTAATAATGCATGTCCTCTTTACGTCTTGTTTCCCCTTTGGATTTCGGTTGCTTGCTTTCACAAGTTCCATGAAAAAATGAAAAGTTAAAAAGGCACGTCGATGTTGGACCGTCTTGCATGGTTATAATATTGTATTATCCACAATATTCTTAATCTGTGTCTTTTATTTTCTGACATTTTTATCGTATGGCACAATGTTGTCAAACATTATATATATATATATATATGTATATTTATATTTATATGCGCTTAAGTTAATTAATATCTGTTATTTTCTTTTATATTATTATAAATGGACCGAAATAAATAGAATGGCAATCCCGTAGTTGGAGAGAAAGAAAGGGGTAAATTTGTAGAAATATTAAATGGGCCCAAGTGGGCCCGACGGTAAGCGAGAATCGAGGCAAATTGAAAAAAAGTACAGAAAATAGGAGAAAAAGGATAGAAATTATCGGAAGAGGTGAAGTGCAC